CCCGGTGCGGCCGAGGTGAGGCCGGGCCGGGTCCTGGGGGATGGGGGAAGGGGCGGGACCGGGCCTCTGGACCCCGACGCGGACAAGTCCAGGGCAGAAAGCGGAATCTTTCCAACCAGGTGGACAGCCCTCAGGCGCCCCTGAAAGCACTAGGCATTCATGAACCCGGGATTTCAGGCCCCAGCTCCCCAGCCCCTTCCCACTTCCAGCATAGGAATTGGCCTCTCCAGAGCCCCTGGTTCTGTAAGTCCAGGCTTCTCCCTCCAGATCCTCTCACTCTGGGTGACTCGGCACCAGCCCATCCCACCTGAACATAGGACCCACCAGGCTGCAAGGCACTTGGATCTAAGAATTCAAGCCTCTTGCGTCGTCTGGACCCACATGAGGGCCCACGCAGCCTCCCAGGACCCAGGAGTTCAGGCCTCCAGCCACCGCCCCCTCAACAAGGATGGAGCTTTCCAGTCTTAAAGGATCTGATGCCCAAGCCTGAATGGTCCTGAAGCCAGGCCTTGTAGTCTTTGCACCCTGCAATGAGAGCCTGAGCTAGGGATAGAGGGAGGAGGGGCCAGAACGCCTGGGTTCTGGCCTCCTCCCCCGCGATTCAGGTTTAACCCTTTCAGACTCCAGCGCGGCTAGGCTGGGGTGGGGGCGGAGCCTGTCTCCGCGGCAACAAGGCCGGGAGAATCCCGGGGGACCCTAGTCTCCATAGCAACGGGAGAGCTGGGGCGCCCCCGCCCTAAGGGAGCTGTTTCCCAGGGAACCGTACTTCCACCCAGGCGGGTCCGCGGTGCTGGGGGAGGGGGCTGGTGCAGGGGTCTGACTATCTGGGTCCTAGGGAGCAAAGAATCAGGGGACCCACGTGCTAACCTCCCCCGGACCTTCACTGTCTCCTCCGCTTTCACTCTCAGGCTCCAGGGTCAGCCCAAGTGGCCGGACTATGCGGTCGTCCAACCCTTCACCGGGACCTGCGCACCGGCCGCTGGGAACCAGACCCGCAGCGCTCACAGCGCTGTCTCCGGGACCCGCAGCGCGTGCTGGAGTACTGCAGACAGGTGGGCGTGGCCTACTGGGAGAGGCGTGGCCAGCGAGAGAGCGGGTCCGATATCTGTCTGGGTGGTCCATAAGAAGCTGGATAAGCAAAAGGCGTGGTCCTGGAAGCTAAGGGGCGTGGCCAACGAAGAGAAGCTAGCCTAGGGCAGGACATGCTTTAAGAAACTACAGTAACTCAGGGAAGGGGGAGAACCTCGAGGAAGATAGCCAGTGAAGAGGTAGGGTTTAGCAATCGATGGTAGACTTTGTAGAAGTATAAGTGGGCGTGGTCGAAGGAGAGGCAGGAGCAAGATAAGAGACTTCAAGGACCTTGGAGAGGGGAGTGGAGCCCAGGGACCGTAGATAGTGAGGAGGCTGGGTTGTGAAAAGGCAGGTGTGATACAAAGACAAAGAAACTCTTTGACAGACCAAACAGAGAAAGAGGTGAGGAGAGTGGGACCAATGGGGAGACCACCCTGATTGGGAGGAAGCAGTGACCAGAGAGGTGGGCTGAGAGGAGACAGCTTCTGGGCAGCTGGAGGGGCCTTCAGAAGGAACTGAAAGGGAAAAGGAGGGCCTAAGGAAGGGTGAGCTTTCAAGGGAGCCACGAAGGGGCGTGGCCAGTGGGGCTTCTGGTTTTATGGAGAAGCACCCTGTAGGGAGATGTCCTTAGGAATATTAGAGCCTTGAAATGCGAATGACCAGTGAACAAGTGGCTGGCAGGGGTGGGTCACTGAGCTGATTGTCCCCATTGTCCTCAGATGTATCCAGAGCTGCAGATTGCACGTGTGGAGCAGGCTACACAAGCCATTCCCATGGAGCACTGGTGTGGGGGTGTCCGGGGCGGCCATTGTGCCCATTCCCACCACCAGGTTGTGCCTTTCCACTGCCTGCGTGAGTCACAGGCTGGGTGAGGGGAACTGAGGTGGGAGAATAGGAGGGGCAAGGTCTTGAACTCCTTTCTCAGGCTCACAGTAGGGGGTTGGGTGTTCTGAGGATAAATTATCTGGAGTCTGAGGAGGGTGGGGGTGGTGGCTGTGGGATGGCCTCACCCAGGTGTCTTCCACTCACCAGCTGGTGAATTTGTGAGTGAGGCCCTGCTGGTACCTGAAGGCTGCCGGTTCTTACACCAGGAGCGCATGGACCAGTGCGAGAGTTCAACCAGGAGGCATCAGGAGGCGCAGGAGGTCAGGACCCCAGCCCACTCATCCCCATGCTCCAGAACCCAGGAGTCCAGACCCCTAACACCCTCTGCCACCAGAACCCAGGATTCTGGACCTCCAATCCTCTGTTCCCATGGGGACCTATATTTCCATCCCCAACTCTGTTCCAAAACCAGGCTCCCAGCTCACCAGCCCTGAAGACCCAGGGGTACAGGTTCCCTGTCTACCTCCTCCCACCCACAATCCTATCATCTGGGCCCACTCTTCCTGCAGGCTTGCAGCTCCCAGGGCCTCATCCTGCATGGCTCGGGCATGCTTTTGCCCTGTGGCGCAGATCGGTTCCGCGGTGTGGAGTATGTGTGCTGCCCCCCTCCAGTGACCCCCGACCCGTCTGGGACAGCAGTTGGGTGAGTGGGAGGGAACTATCTTACGCCCATCCCAAGGCCCTGAGGCAGGGGATGGAAGTCTGGGGTCCCTGGGCCCAGGGTCTTACTGCCTGGATCTTCTCCTGCTCCTTCAGTGACCCTTCCACCCGGTCCTGGCCTCTGAGGGGCAGAGTAGAGGGAGGTGAGGATGAGGAAGAGGAGGAATCCTTCCTACAGCCAGTAGATGATTACTTCGTGGAGCCTCCACAGGCTGAAGAGGAAGAAGAGGAGGAAAAAGTCCCACCCCCAAGCTCCCATACCCCTGCAGTAGTCAGCAAAGGTGAGGCAGTCTTGGAACCCCTAGTCTTCTCTCCACGGAGGGAGGATGACTTGGGGGTACCTTGGTGTAGGGGCACCTTTGGGAGGAAAATGGAAGAGAGGCTCAATTGGTGAGAATGAAAGAAATGAGAGTAGCTTTGGATAAATAGAGGTGGAAGGGCTAACCTGTGGAGAATACAAAGAGACAGGATAATTTGGGGGTACTTGGAAGTGGAGGGGCCATTTTGTAGGTCCTAAGGGTTATTTTGGGAAAGCTTGGAAGATGACATAACACATTCCTAAGCTTTTCCAGGAACAGGCCCAGTCCAGAAATACATCTTTCATGATGCCATGCAACAGCTATTGCTATCTGTATGCAGGATGGTCTCCAATGCACTCTGGGAAATGTAGTTCTCCAGGTAGGAAACATGTTGAAGTGGGCTGCAAGTTAACCTCCTGACCCTTGGTCTTGCAGTCACTCCCACCCCAAGGCCCACAGATGGTGTGGATGTTTACTTTGGCATGCCTGGGGAAATCAGTGAGCACGAGGGGTTCCTGAGGGCCAAGATGGACCTGGAAGAACGTCGAATGCGCCAGATTAATGAGGTGATAATATTGGGAACTCTGAGATCACCTCCCAATACATCACAGAGCTTCCTAAATACTAGAAAACCCCTAAGGGACATGTTGAGACTACTGAGAAATCTCCCAAGCCCTTTTTAACTTAAACCTTAAATGCCAGCCCCTGATATGACCAGGAATCTCTGACCCACCTGGAATCTCACTGACATGCCACCAGATGCTATAGAAGCCCTAGTCCTTAGAAGTCTTCCACTTTCATCTGCTTCTGTCTTAGAAGCCCAAGAGCCAGGGGACTTAAAGGATCTGGAGCCTCTGAGGTCTTGAAAAGAGGGGTTGGAGGACTCACCAGGTGGATCACAGTCGAGTCTGGGATCTTGAACTCCCTTTCCTTAAACCCCTCTCACAGGTGATGCGTGAATGGGCCATGGCAGACAACCAGTCCAAGAACCTGCCTAAAGCTGACAGACAGGCCCTGAATGAGGTAGGACAACGTCACAAGGTCTTACTCATGCCTGCTTACTACCCGTGACACTCATGGTCTCAGCCTACCTCTTGCTATGTCCCCCCCCCCCACCCCACATCCAGATGCTACTTATTTCACCGTCTCCTGTCTCCACCCCTACACTTGGTTCTACCCTTCTTGGCCTGAGTCTGATCTCACATTGCTTCCTTCCTCCTCTCCAAATATTGGCTATGTTTAGCCCTATCTTGACTTACTTCTAAGGGCCAACTCTGGAGTCCTGCAGATATATCAGGGTCCTTCTCAGCTTGTCTTTAATGTAGTCATGTTCTTGCTAGGCCCTGCCCTCCCCTCACACACTCTGGTCCTGCCTCTCTAATCTCACTGTTACTCAATACCTCCTCAGTAGGTCAGGCCTCCTAACTTGGTCCCGCCTCTCGGTCTTCCCTTGGTACAATCCTATCCTGGGTAGACCCCACTCTAATTAGCTCCTATTCCAACTCTCGTTCCCCTTCGCATCACATTGGTCTCATTTAGACACTGTTTCCAGTTTGGCCCTGCCCAGGCCTGGGGCCCTACCTTCCCTACAAGACTTGGCCCCTTTCACCTTAACGCTAACCAGTTCTGTCCCCAGATTTTTCCCATTCTCTTAGACTTCACATCCTCAGATTGGCTCTCAATATGTCTAGTCGTGCTCCAACTCTACCAAGTGCTGTAGCCCACCCCTTCTAGTCAGTCTCCTTTGACTTAGTTCCACTCACAGGTTGGCTCTGCCTAGGTCTAGACCACCTGAGCCTTCCTCCCCACCGCCCCAACTTGGCCCTATGACCCTGCCTTTCCAGATTCCCTTTGACCCAGGTTTTCAGTCATCTTCCCTTCTCCTGACCCTGTGCTCACCCTCACCAGCACTTCCAGTCCATTCTGCAGACCCTGGAGGAGCAGGTGTCTGGTGAGCGACAGCGCCTCGTGGAGACCCATGCCACCCGAGTCATCGCCCTTATCAACGACCAGCGCCGGGCTGCCCTGGAGGGTTTCCTCGCAGCACTGCAGGGGGATCCACCTCAGGTGTGGGAGCTGTGGGGGCAGAGAGCAGAGGGTGCGGAGGGCTGGGGCAGACTCTGCAGCCTTTGTCCCTTCCACAGGCAGAGCGTGTGTTGCTGGCCCTGCGGCGCTACCTGCGTGCAGAGCAGAAGGAGCAAAGGCACACGCTGCGGCACTACCAGCACGTGGCTGCCGTGGATCCTGAGAAGGCCCAGCAGATGCGCTTCCAGGTGCTCAGATTCTTCAGCTACCACATGCCCTGCTCTCCCCTCAGACCCAGTCCTTCATGTCTTTTTTCTGTTCCTTCCTGTCCCAGCAACCTTCCTTCTGTGCCTCTGAACCATTCCAGCCTCTCAACTCCACTTCCTATGCCTTGGATTCCTACTTCCTGACCCTAAAACTACCCCTAAGCACTGTGCCTTTGAGCCCCTTCCTGTCCCTTGGAGTTCTATTTCCTGTCCCTTAACCCTACTTCCTGTCCCTTGGATTTCCTTCTCAGAAGTCTCTTCCTTGAACCCTGTTCCTCTCCCTCAACGCTCCCTAACCCAGCTTGTTTTCCCCGGAAACACAGTTCTATCCCTGGGATTCCAATTCCAATGACTTGGATGTTCTCTGCTTGTCCATGAATATGCCATTCTGTGCTCTTGAACTCCAAATCTTGCCCTGAACCCTGTCATTTCTACATGGCTCTCCAATCCTACTTTCTCTCTCTAGAACTCCCCACTTTGTTCTTCAGACCCTGCTTTCACCTCTCTCCCTCTCCAAGTAGGCTCAGGACCTCTCTTCATGGAGCCTCCTATACCCTTTACCTCTACTTCCTGCCTTCTACACCATAGTCCTTGTATTCTGTATTTACCTCATCTCCTGTGCTCCATGTTTGCTAGTGACCTCTCCTTTTCCTTCTGCCTTACTTCCTTTCCTGAGGCCCTCACTTCCTGTCTTCTGTGCATCTTTTCCTTTTCTTTGTATCCTGCTTCTTCTTCTTCGATTTCCTTCTTCCTGGGGCCGGCAGGTGGTGTGCTGGTTAAAGGTGCTGGATACCCACATGGCCAACCATGGATCAGGTCCCTGACCTGGCAGCTTACTTTCTCGCTTTCCTTTTCTCTCTCCCTCTGTCTTTCTCTGGTCAAATTAAACTAATAATAATAATAACAGGGGGACTAGCAAGTGGTGTGGTGGTTAAGGTGCTGGACACTCCCACACGGTCAATCATGGTTCAAGTTCCAGACCTGGCAGCTTGCTTTCTCACTTTCCCTCTTTCTCTCTCTGTGTCTCTCTTTGGTCAAATTAAAATAAAATGAATGAATAAATAAAACTAAATAAATAATTTAAAAAACTAAATAAACAAACAAAAAAAACCAAATGGAATTAAATTAATTAATTAGGGACCAGCAGTTGGCATAACGGCTATGTCGCTGGATTCCCATGTAGCCGACCACGGTTCAAGTGCTGGACCTGGTGGCTTAAACTCACGCC